TAATAGTAAGTAAAGTAAATGCAATGAATTATGAAGACCTGAAAAGTTATGACCACAAAATCGATCATGTTGATGAAACTGTTAAAGATGGTAATAGGGATGTTAGACCTATAAAATTTGATCAAAAAGATAAAATAAAAGTCAATAATACATCTGAAAACTCCAATAAAAAGAAGGTGTTCAAATATCGTCAGGAATCAGCTGGGCATTGTAACCGAAATGAAAATGGAATTGGAAATGAAAGGTTGAACATCATGCATCTGTTGATTATCAGAAATCTGTTAATATAGGAAATAATAGTGTAGGCCATGTTAATATCCCTCTTGAACTTAGGTGTAGTTATACAAATAGAATTGAAATCAACAAAGTGGAAAAAGCTATGGATAGTAGATGTAATGTGACCTATAATATAATAAGTATATATTTTAGTAATAATGAAGACTTGAGATATAAAATTAATGAAGAATATAACGATCATTAGTTAGATAAGTCAAAATCTGAGGTTAATCAAGTGCTGGCTACAAAGAATAGTAATGATCATGAAAGTAGTCTTGAAAAGAATAAATATAAGGTTTTCTTTAGTTAACAAATACCCAAAGTGATAAATTATAAAACATGTGATATTTTGGTTGCTTGCTATGTCATAGGTTTTCTCTTTATATCAAGTTTTTTGAGTATTTTGGTGGTGAATTTTATTGGATATATTTAGACTTAGAAGTAGAATTAAAAAAAAATATCTTTTGGATTGTATGTGAATATGCATAATAGTTATACACGGGTTTAGAGGCATATGGCAAGGGTTTGACTTTGTTATGAACGTAGACATATTTTTGTTGTGTTTGATTTTTTTTTGTGTTGTTTAGTCTTGCGATTTTGTGATAGTTTAGTTTCTTTAGTTTTATATTGATTTCTATTATTAGACTATAGATTTAGAGAATGTCTATTTCTATCATAGTATTTTGCTATTTCTATCAATACAAATATAAGAATTTAATATAAAAAATCAATTTTTTTAAAATTAAAAAAGTTTTTATTAAGTTAGGGTCTGTTGAGCTTTTAAGTAAAGTTGTAGAAGAGATTTTTTGGTTCTAATAATAGTTAGATTATCAAAATTGGCCTTGTGGATCCCAAGAAACTTGGAGTTAAAGACACAAACATAAGGATTTAATATAAAAAATAAATTAAAGAAGTTTTTATTAAGTTAGTAGTTAGATCATCAAAATTGGCCTTGTAGATCCCAAGATATTTAGAGTTAAAGACGCAAACATAAGAATCTACAAATTAGTAGTTACACAAAGTATTATAAACTATAATACTTTGTATAACTACCAATTTGCAAATCCTTATATTCACGTCTTTAACTCCAAATATCTTGGGATCTACAAGGCCAATTTTGATGATCTAACTACCATTAGAACTATAAAAATCTTCTCTACAACTTTACTTAGAAGCCTAAAAGAGATTTACTTATTAAAATTTTCTTTAAATTTTAAAAAATTAATTTTTATTATATTACTGTATATAGTATAATATATTCTATTGTATAGTAAGTACTAAAAATAGTAATTTTTGTATAACATAGTAAAAATAGCAAAATACCATGGTGGAAATAGTAGCCCCCTAGATTTATATATATATATATATTAGTAGTAGAAAAAAAAATTTTAGTACTGCGGCTTAAGAAGCATATGCGATCAGATAACTATGAAGACTAATGTATTAGATTTTTCATAGGATATGAAAAATTAAGGTGGGGAGAACTGTTGCTGGCAAAACCACCTGTTCATAAAAATCAAGAATTATGTGAAATGATGCACATAGGACATACAAATTATTACGCAAAGAGCTATTACACTGCAATGCTCCAGAACCTATGATTTTCACCTGACGATCATATGAAAGTAAACCTGTTTAAACCAGATCCTCTGTATAGAAGCATCAAATGATAATTCTATGAAAGCCAAGCTTCTATCAATAATTCTATTAAAGAAAGCGATACTTACCTGATTCAGTTAATAGCTGTCAAGGTAACATTACCTTGTTGGTGGCCATGAAAACAAGAAGTACATGAGTTAATGGAAGAGTCAATAAATGGATCAATGAAGTTGGCAGGTAAAGAACAATGACAGCGTAGAAGCTTTCATTTGACTTGCCTTTTTCTTGCTTTCTTTTTCTATTCCGCTAGAACTTCAATGAGAATAGCTATGAGAAATGACTAGAAAAGAGTTAAATAGCTTGAGTCGATGACACAGTTCAATGATTAGAGATAGGGAAAATGATGCGATCTTGATCTTTTTCTTGCCCTGTAAAATAGTTATAAATAGAAGGTTGAATTTTTCTTGTAAAGTTATTATTAGTACATATACAATTTTTGCTCTATATCTAATAAAGTCATTAATAAAAGCTTCTTGATAAATCCAAGCTATACGTTCGTTAAAAACTGTATCAAATTACTCACCTAACATTACTCAGTAGACACTTTTGATCCATGCCAAATCAAATTCTGCCTTATCTTTCTACTGAGCATTGTTAGTCAACCTTATTCTCTCTTTAATGCCAGTTCATCATTTACTTTCTCTCTTGTTAGAGGTGGAATTTTGGTTGATTCGGCTCTGACATTATAGAATGCAGACTATTTCTAAATAGTGTAATGCCTCTGAAAATTCTCATATGATTAGATTTAGAGGAACACTAAAGCCTTGTGGTTACATTATTCTGTGCTATCCACAAAAAAACCTGGGATGCGCTAAAGCCTTGTGGAATAATTTTATTATCACATCATGTGATGTTGGGGTTCGAATATTCAAACTCCAATTTGATTAGTAATACATATTATATATATTACTAACCAAAATCAAAGTTCAAATATTCAAACCCTGATATCACATGGCGTGATAATTAGATTCAAGATGTTGGATGCATCGAATGTTACGATTTTAGAGTAGAATCATTCACAAGGCTTTAGCCAACCTCTGGATAGGATTTAACACAAATGTGAAAATCAATAATTTTTATTGGCTATTGCTTTGATTTATTTTCTTTTTTAGTTTATCAATCAACCGACCATCAATCAAAGTAAACATTATATGATCATGTGGATACATGTTTATTGGTAGTTTGCCAGTCTATGTGATTATTTATATATGTGATTATTAAACATTAAATTATCACATTTGTAAACTGCAAATACAGCAAAATTGCCTATATGTGCGATATACAAAATATAAGTCAATTGTCTGGTAACTTATTTATGTTTTAAAGTATTTTTTTGAAACAATATTTTTCTAATAAAACATCACCACAAATATCATTTATAGGCTTAATGAAATGCCAATATTCACTATACAAAAGAATCAAAAAATAAAGCTGAAAAAATTTGTTTAGATAACAAAGTATGCCTACCATTTATTGAAATATATCAAATTGTACTATAGAATGGAGGTAACAGGAAATGTTTTGTTAAAGGCTGCTCTCTTATATTTAAATAAACTTATTGCTCACTATATGAATAGGAATGAGCTTTTATAGAGAAAAAATCTAGATATAATACTTTAATGTGTTGGTTTAATAAGTATAAGCTGTATTAGTAATAAAGATAAATACTATTTTTACCACTACATGAGTATCCTATTAAGTTTTTTTGATACATACCACTATATGAGTAGCCTATTAAGTTTTTTGATATATACTACTATATGAGTATCCTATTAAGTTTTTTTAATATATATTAAAGTGATGAATAATTTAACAAATATATAATTTGATTGGATCATGCAAATGTTGCTACCAGGTTTTCAGGGTCTAAGTTCTTTAAGTATATTTATTTATTACTGTATTGTATATATATAAAATTTAAGTTTCAGGCTTTTTAATCATTTTTAGTTCTGAGTGTATTACAAATAACCTATTAATATAAGCAAAGATCATATGTAAATAGTAACTATATGATTATTACACGAGTCTTATATAACAACCCATACAAATTTGACAAGCTTATTTTTACTGATCTATATGAAAATTATATAATTTTCATATAAACTAGCCCTATAAAATTTTTTTTAAAATCATATTCAGACTTTGCTCTGATTTTTTTTTTAAGAAGTGGGCATTTTCCATAACAAAAATCTATACAAAACTTTTGAAATTTTCTGAATATTTCTAATTTCCTGAATATTTTCAAAACCTTGTTAATTTTCTGATTATAATTTTTGCTTGATAAAAATTATAATCAGGAAATTAACAAGATTTTAAAAATATTCAGAAAATTAGAAAATATTCAGAAAATTTTAAAAGATTTTTGTTATGGAAAATGCTTATCTTCTAAAAAAATAACCTGAGTAAGTTCTGAATGTAATTTCATATTTTTTTTATAGGCAGTGAAAATTAGTTATTTTCAAATTCAGGGCCAGAAAACATAAATCAGACTAAAATTCTCAAATAAAAGTAGTAAAACTTAAATTAGCAGTAATTTTTTAAAATTCTCATATACAGAGCTAGGAAACTTAAGTTTGGCAAGAATATTTTAAAATTCTTAAATGCAGAGCTAAAAAACTTTAATAAGTATTTTTTTATATTATAACATTATACATTGCATTTTAATTTTTTAATTTAAAATTCAAAGTGAGTATTAATAGTTTGTTAATGGGTGGGATATTTAATATGATGTTTTGTATAATCAGATTAAGAACTTGTTGAGTTGGTTAATTATTGTGTGTTTTTGATTTAATTTAAAGATCACTTTGTGATTGAACTAGATAATTAGTTTGTTCTTGACATATATTATAGTTTGTAATACTATTGCTTTGTTGAATTATTTGTTGGTGTTTATTGTTTAAACTTTTCTTTGGAAGAGATAATTTAAAAGTTCATAAAGTTTTGAATTACGTTGAGAATCAGTTAAAACTTTAACAGTCTTTAGCCTTTTTTGTAGTAGTTTATGTTTGTTCTGATTAACTATAATAAAATTTATTAGATAAATATTAATTTTTATTTTATTAAAAAATATTATCTTCATGTTTAATATCAATTACATGTTTATTATTTATATTACTATTGTTGTTATCATTGTTGCTATTGTCATTATCATTATCACTATTATTGTTATCTTTACTTTCAAACTTGTGAGTATATAAATTGCCTGGGTAAGAATAAAATTCTTCAAGCTTATTATTGATTGCTGTATATGGAATTAGTATTACTGTTGAACTTAATTATTGATTATTAGTAGGTTTACTATAGAATCTAATCTCTTTACAAGACCTATGGTCTGAAAATATATTATTTATTTTCTAGTATATTTGAAGCTTTTAAAATCATAATTGCACTTCTTCGTGTGCTGTGATTTGTAATTTTATGCTCATTAATATTAATTTCTATTTTTTGTAGTTATTTGGTATAATATTACTTTCAATTTATTTGTACCTATTCTTGATGATTTATACCAAATTTTATTATTAATTTCTAAATAAAATTAAATTAATTTTTAAGTTTAAATATATGTATATACAATACTATTAAATAACTAATTTATTTCTTTTATATTCTAAAAATAATGAATCAGTAATCTGACAATCTGATTTTAGATAA